CCCCTCAGACTGGGGCTCCCTGAGGGCAGGGCTCTGTCTCCCCTCAGACTGGGGCTCCCTGAGGGCAGGGTTGTATCTCCCCTCAGACTGGAGTTCCCTGAGGGCAGGGCTGTGTCCCCCCTCAGACTGGGGCTCCCTGAGGGCAGGGCCATATCTCCTCCTGTCTCTGACTGGAGAGTCCCAGCCTCTACTCCCTACTCTTTTAAGCCTCCCAGATGGGAGGGTGGGACCCTCAGGCTCCCCCCTTCAGCACCAGCAAAGAGGTCTTATTGTAACCTTTCCAGTGCTTTCTCCCTTTGCTGGGGCCCTGGAGACTTCTGACCTCACCACCCAGTGCGTGGTTGTTTTCTCGCTGCCGCTGAACTGAAAATGATTCCTTGGGGGAAAGCAGGGAGGAAAGGGGCCCTGAGCTCTGTTCCCTGGCCTTGATTTAAGGAACAAAAGAAGCTAAGCTCCAGGCTGCTGTGCGGACAGCTGAAGGGTTTTATGCTCTTTTGGGGAAAAAATACATTTGCCTGTTGGAAAAAAATTTCTCTTTGAGCTCTCCAAAGACAGAAAGTGGAGAAAAAGCACTTATGGTCTGGTGTGTCTGTGCCCTGTGGTTGGGGCCCTGCTTCGGGGCAGAAGACCTGGTTTCCTCCCCGTTGGCTTCTTACTGGCTGTGTGCTTGTGGGCAGGTCACTCACTGTCTCTCAGCCCTGGAGTCCTCAGCGCATCGGGGTGAGGGTCACGGAAGAGCTTTCAAGTGCTGCGCGGGTGTACATTGTTGCAGTGGGGGAAACTGAGGCCGTCAAGATGGCTGCCATCAGAAACATGATGTGTGGGTGGGTGTGGGTGGGTGTGTAGGTGGGTGTGTATGGAGGAGAAGTTAGTTGAAACATGACTTCCAGGGCCTCGTCCAGAACTGCAAAACTGGGCCCTGGGCGTGGGGCCCAAGAATCTGCCTTTCTACAAGGCAGGACAGGGGCGCGTCTCAGGAAGTGAGAGGCCCATTGCTCATGGGGGGGGAAGGCATCATCTCAAGGCTAGGAGAGTAGCTCAGTGGGCCCTGGGGCTTCAGTTAGGACAGGCACTTGGGGTGAGGCACAGAGAGGGGCAAGTGTGAAATAAGGGACCAGAGAGGGTGTAGGATGCGGGGACTTAGGCAAAGGGGCAGAAGGGCCTCAAAGCTGCGTGGGGGAAAGGACAGGAGGCCAAGGAGGAACCTGAGGCTGGGGCGAGCAGGGCTGCTGTCAGCCAGTGGGGAGATTCAACACAGACTCACAATGGGGTGCTGGGGGTGTATGCGTTGGGGGTGGGCTTCCTTGGACAGGCAAGGGGAAGTGGTTTGTGTTTGCCATCCTGTGTGTCCTTTCTCACCAAGTGAACCTGAGCACCCACCAGGAGGGTGACTGCTCTGCTCAGCACCGGGCCAGTGATGACCCTCTGACCAGCCTCACTATGCCCAAGTGCTCCAGGGCAGTCCTGATGGAGAAACTGTGTTAGCCCTACTTTACAGATGGGGAAACCGAGGCACGAGGAAGCCAAGGCATTTGGCCAGGCACTTAGCCATCAGCCTGTATAGCGGCCGGCCCTGACCGTGATCAGACACCATGCTGGTGGAGAGACAGCCTCACTCAGCCATATGGCCATTCCTTTTGGTCTTCCTTCATCCATTCAATCTGCCAGCCCCCCGGCTCTGAGTCGTGTGCCGGGCTGGCCTGCAGCAGAGGTGGGGTCCCTAGCATGGAGGAGCAGCTGGTCGGTGTGAGAGATCAATGCCCCCCTCATTTTGCAGCCCAGCGTGTGCTGAGTAGGGACGTGGGGTCCTACAAGTCAGAGGGTTGCACACTACAGGCCAAAGAGAGCTCAGGGGAGGGGAGAAGAAATGGTTGTTGATCAGGGCCTGTTCAGGGAAGGCAGAATCGAGGAGGATAGATAGGAATGGGTCTGGGAGGATGATGAGGATAATCTCAGCAGGGAGGAGGGACCGGGGTTTTTGTCATCCTCAGGTGCTATGGCAGGCTGACCCAAGCCCCAGGACTCAGTAAGAGTCCTGAGGTCACTGGGCAGGGAGCCACTGAAGCTACGTGGCTGGTTCTATTTCTCAGTCCACGTGTGTGCCTCTCGCCCAGCTGGGAGGGTGGGCAGAGCCAAGGAAAGCCCTGCCTGCTTCTCTTTGAAGATAAGACCCCATCTCTCCCTCCCTCTGTCTCTCTGTCTCTCCTCCTCTGTTCTCCCCCCCCCCCCACACACACATACACACACAGAGTCTGAAATCCAGGGTCTCACTAGCCTAAACATGACAAAACCTGAGTTCCAGACCCAGACCTTGGAGAAGTCAGAGGCCCTCTCCTGAGTCTCATATTCCTTTTATTTTTAATATATTTAATTTAATTTACCTTATTTATTTGTCAGAGAGAGAGAGAGAGGACAAGCAGGGGGAGGGGAAGGCAGAGGGAGAAGCAGGCTTCCCGCTGAGCAGGGAGCCCAACATGGAGCTCAATCCCAGGACCCCAGGATCATGACCTGAGCTGAAGGCAGATGCTTAACCAACTGAGCCACCCAGGTGCCCCGAGTCTCATATTCCTGATTTGTAAAGGAATTGGAAAAGGTGACCTCGGAGGTCTCGTCCAGCTTGAGTGTTCTAAGATTTTGCGCAATTACAGAATTTCATTATAGAATTCAAAGATAAACCCCGGCACTCTCTTTAATAAAGTCCTCTCTGCCGCACCGCCCCCCCTCCAACCTTCTTTATTACTTCCAGCTCCTCGCCGTGCCTCAGGTTCCACCATAGTAGAGGCTCCTCTTTGGTGTGAAGGCATTTTGTCCTTTACTGAAATCAAGACAGACACTTCTGCCCCCAAACCTAGCACACTGCAGGAGGGGGTCAAGCCAGGTATTGGTCAGCCCACTTTGGTGTGGATGAACATATATAAAAATGGTATCTTACCTGTTCCCCCCACTCTCCCGCCCCCTTCAGAGCCGTCTTGCCTGTCATTTCATCTGCTGCTCCCTGCAGTGGACTGGGAGGTTTATCAGATGGTTTCCAAAGTGACAGCAGGCCGGAGCAGGTCTGGTGCAGGAGTGGTGGAGACCAGCAGAGGGGGTGTGTGTCTCGGGGTCCTGGAGGGCTAGCTGGGGTGGCTGCCTTTGGGGAAGAGGCCCCTGAATGAAGAGAGTGGAACAGAGGGTGGGGATCTGTGAGAATCGGGAGCTAGTATTTGCAGAACACTTAGCTCCGGGCCTGACCCATCACTGGGGTTCAAGAGCGGGAGCCGCGATCACACGGAAGCAGGGCAAGAGCGGCTCGCCCCCTGTTCAACACCTCTCAGTCCCCCAATGTGTCCATCATCCTGCTGCCTTGCCTTCAAGTCTGATTATCAGGGCCACGTGTTAGCTTCTGGCCTTGACCACAGAAGGACCCTGTTCAAAATCAGTCTGCATCCCGTGGGGGTGTCCTTGGTTCATCTATCAGCATAGATGAGAAAGCCAATAAACTGGCTCTACCTAGAGCCCTCAGGGAATGGGACACGAGGTGGCTAAGGCTTGTTTGCTTGATTTTACCTTTTTTTTTTTTTTTTTTTGAGAGGTAGAGATGTGGTAAAAGAGGAGAATTTCTAGAACAGGCTAGGCCATTGGGCAGATGGAGATTTGGCTCGAGAGTGAGGTCCTGCGGGATGTGGGGTACCCAGCGCGCATGGCGCTGGTGGGGGTGGGAGGTGGGCAGCCGCACCCCTCAGGAAGCAGGACTGAGGGGCCTCCAGGGCCTGCCCTGTGCCGGCTTTAATGAGCACCCAGTAGATGTGGCCGAACGAGCCTCCTCTTCCTGTTTTGTCTGCGGCCAGGCCTGAGTCTCACCCCGGGCCTGACTCCGCTGAGACCCTCCTTCCCTGTGCCTGTGCTGACTCTTCCTCTCTCCCCCTCTTTCAGGAACCTTTTGGACAAAGACATGTTTTCCAAGTCCGACCCACGTAAGTCCTGCTCTGACATTGACAACAGTAACAACAACAGCAATGACACTGAGACGGATTGCAGTGACACGCGGGAGCCCTTCCCCTGAGCGCTAACGCTGTGCTGGGCCCCGTGCCGGGCCCCGTGCCGGGTGCATCCAGGCTGCTGACTGTTTTACTGATACTGTCCGGAGAAGGAGAACTGCGGGTCTGACCCTTCCCAGGCCGCAGGAACTTGTGAAGACTCAGCCCAACCGAGGGGGTTCGCAGGGGTTCAGGGTGTCTGGGGCCAGAAGTTCTCAGTCCCAGGGAAACCAGTATGTTTCAGAGCCAGCCCCAACTGGCTGTGGTCTGGGGGGACGAGCACTGATTTTCGAGTCCAGGGATCTAGCCCTGAGCAATGCCATTCAACTCTCAGGTTGACAGGTCATTGGCCTCCTCTGAGCCTCAGTTTGCCCATCTGTGGAGTGGGGCTGATGATAGTAATAGGCCTCATGAGGCTGCTTTGGGCTCTAAAAGGATGACTGATTCGGGTTTCAGATGTTCTCTCCTTCCACATCTCTGCAACTCAGTCCTCCACGAGCCCTCCATCATGTTCTGGCCTAGATGCGAACAGCCCCTGACCCCCTCCACGAGGGTGCCTCTCCCAGACATGCCTAAGTTCTAGCTAGACCCAACAGTGCTACCCAGGCCAGAGTCTCCTGAGGTGCCTCCCCGTCCAGAACCCTCCCCATCTGGGGCCCCCACCTTCCTCTTGGCCCGGGGTCTTAACCCTGTTTTTCTCCTCTCCCCACAGTATGTGTCATGTATACTCAAGGGATGGAGAACAAGCAGTGGCGGGAGGTAGGTGGCCCCTTCCCCACCCCGGAAACATTGTCTGTCCCTCATTGTCTGTCTGTTTGTCTGACTCTGGAGACATCCCACCTGATGTGTTTTGAAGTGTAGCACCTAAGCCCCTGGGAAGGATAGTAAGGCGTGAAGAGCATGGAGTTTTTTCCCTGCTATTGCGGGAAGAAACATGGTGGAGGGGAAAGTTCCTGCCCTCTGTAAGCCAGTCTGAGGGAGAGATATGCCCTGGCCTCGGGGAGCCCCAGTCTGAGGGGAGAGACAACCCTGCCTCAGGGAGCCTCAGTCTCAGGGGGGAGACAAAGGGAGTCCAGGCCCAACAAAAAAGACCTAAGCCTGGATATAGCAGCTAGCACTATGTCTTATCTACACCAGCCTTCCCTTGGTTTCTGACCAACATGAGCATTCAGTTAGGTGATTCCCTTGCCTGGAAACCTTCAGTGACTCCTCTCTGCTTTGAATCAAGTCCCAGCTCTTTAGCCTGGCTTCCAAGCTCTGCCGAGAGCCTGGGGAGTCCCTCCCAGATGACACAACAAGAATGAGAATAGCCAGTGAAGCTTCAGTAACTCAGACTTTATTAACAAACCTCCTCTTCCTTGTTGGTGGCTTGGCCAGAGCGTCACTTTCCCTGCTCCCCACCCCTTACCCCCAGGCATGGCAGGAGCAAGTGGCCGAAGGGGCTGAATTCTACCCATAAAATGTATGGGAAATATTTCCCCAGGGGCCGGGCTAAAGTTTACTTTTTTCACCCTAAGACTCTAAGCCAATTAAAGTGGAAACCAGATTGCTGGAGAAACATTTAGCCTACTTAAGTGAACTAATTACTTTTGAGGCCTTTTGGCCAAGCTTCATAGAAAGCAGCAGCGTGCTAATGTAGTGATTCATTCAGGAAAGTCTGGAAGGGCCTCTTCAGAAGGGCACTGCTTACTAGCCATTAATGACATTCAGTAATTGCGACTTGTCTCCATTTGGGTCAGGGTCCCTGACTGTCTACATGGCATCGTTTCCACCCGCACCCTCAGGGCGGAGCAGACAAAAGGCCGGAGACCTCGCTGCTGGCTAGCCCTTTCTGGAGGTGGAATCTGGAGCAAGTTGCTTACCCTCACTGTGCCTCAGTTTCCACATATGTAATATGGGGATAACACCTCCCTGGTAGGCCTATGGGGAGGGCAAAACAAGGTGATGGATGTAAGGTGGCTGGTGTGTAGTCATTGCTTGGTAAATCCCATTGCATAGCATCATCCAGAATGTGCGGGGCCTCCGGTCACTCCCCCAACTGGTCAGTATTTGCAACAGTAAAAATTTATGTGTCCCAGGCAACATACCAGGTGCGGTGGGGAAAGAGGGAGAGAGTCAAAAGAGCAGAGCTTCACCAAAATCATGAGCTGGACTCGGAGTTTGCCGCCTAGAAGGGGAGAGTCACCTGTGTGAATAATCCTAACAGAGGAAACGGGGAGCAGAGAAGTATCCGTGAGAATAAGAGGGCAGTTCAGAGGAGAGAAAGTTCCAGCCAGCACGCCATGTTTAGCCAAAGCACTTTGATAGCTCGTTGGACTTTTACAAATCAAATGTGACCAAACACAAGGCATCTGGCCAAGGGGTGCATGCCGTGGAGCAGAGGAGAATGGGGGTCAGGAGGAACTTCAGGGATTGTCTAGCTCTACCTTGTCGGGCCAGGACCGGCCTCCGGTGGTGGAAGCAGGGCAGCAGGACCCCAGTGCAGTGGGAGCATCCGCTTGGAGGAGCTGGGTTTCAGTGAAGCTGGGGGACATGGCACGAGGGCCCAGCAGCACAGCTGGTGGCAGAAGCGAAGGCACAGAGGGGGACCAACATGGGCAGGTCGGTCCAGCGCCTGGGTGGCTGGGCGAAGTAATAAGGGGCTATTTATAAAGGAGCGCTCGGGGTTTAGGGAAACCAGTGAGGGGTGATGAATCACCAGGCTGGCAACAGTAGAAAGCCATTGCTACTCCTGGCCTGAGGAGGTCAGGGGAGGCCGAGGTTCCTGGAACCCCAGGGGGACTTCCCAAGAGGAGCCCGGGCAACATCACTCTCTTTCCAGCCTCTGCTCTCCTGCCGGTGCCTCCCCCTGGTATAACCCCACCGGAAGCCCTAGTATGGGGGATTGTTGATGCCGTCCACTCAGGTCTGCCTTCCGGGCACAGGGCAGGGTGGACAAGGCAGTGGATCCAGAGGGGCAAAGCGAGACAGTCCAGGATGGACAGCGAGCAGATGAGCGAGGTGGAGCAAAATAGAGGAAGAGGCGACTAAGGGAGCTCACGGCTGTCAGGCTGAGGGCAGCTGGGGCTGTGGGGTCAGGATGTCAGAGCAGGAGGGTCCCTAGAGATCAGAGAGGCTGCCCCATGGACAGTCAACACCATGCGCAGCCTTCAGGGGTGATAGTGGCAGAGCTCAGATTTCAAGCTATTTCTGGAGAAGAGAAGACGCACTCAGATATACCGGGACCCTATTTCTTTGCCTGATGCTCTCTATGACCCACAGAGGACAGTATCAGGAATGGAAAATTTAAAGCAAAAAATCCAGGTCCATCTCTGGAACTGTCCCTGGGATGGAAGACTGCTTTTGCTCGTAAACAGGAACGGGCTCCCACCTGTTAGTTCCTTGCAAAACGTCTGTTAGCAGAACCTTGGCCGAGAGGTAATTATCCTGTGACCAGGAGGAGTCAAGTGCAGGCACAGCAGTTTCTGCAGGCAAGGTCCAGACCCCGGGGTTTGCGCAAGGCGACAGAGGGATGAAAGCTGTTCTCTCTGCCCCTGGCTGCCGGGTTTCAGCTGATTTTAACTGTTTGGGTCATTTTAAATGCCTTCTGAGAAAGCTCCATCTTCCAGCACCTAAATCTGTCAATGCGTTTTATGAAAATTGACTCAAGATATAATTTTAGCCCAGGAAATCGAGCACTATTTGCATCAAGGTTCGTCAGGGCCTTCTGCGTGTCCCAGGGAAGGCAGGATGACCAGGTAGGAAGGGTCCCAGGAGCCTTCTCACTGGGAGGAGGGATGTAATAGGGAGCGCCTCTCCGTTCCCCATTTGAAAAATGTGTGGGCAGGTGATCCCTGCCCCTCCCTTGCCAGACAGCTGTCCCGGCCAGGGGCGGGGGGGCCTTGGAAACGAGGAGATGGGTATTACAGAATCTTAGGGTGTCCCCTGCTGGACTCACGCTGCCTGCCGGGGATTGGCCCCACACATCCCTGCCAGAGCACTATTTTTGAGCAACCTCGGTTCCTAGAACATTGAACGCCCACTGGGAATGACAGTTCATCTCTAGATGTCAACAAGAATGTGTGGATACCCTACTGTGTGCCACCATAGAATGCTGGGGATGCAAAGGGGGACCAGACACTGTTTACAACCAGAGGAACTCCCTTTGGATCCAGGAAGAGACCGATAATGACAATAACAGCAATAGAGAATACTAATAGCAGAGGCGTCCGACCTGAAGCGTCAGACTTTGGCTCAGGTCATGATCTCAGGGTCCTGGGGTTGAGCCGTGGGTCAAACCCCTGTTCGGCCCGCACTCAGCAGGAAGTCTGCTTCTCCCTCACCCTCAGCCCCTCCCCCTGCTCATGTTCTCTCTCTCTCAAATAAATAAAATCTTTTAAAAAAGAAAAGAATGCTAATAGCAGACATTTCTGTAACAGTGATATGCTGGGCACAGGTTCCAAGTATTTACATATAGTAAATAATTTAATGCTCACAACCACCCCATTCAGACGGTATTATTACTACTATTATTGTATTTATTGGCCCCATTTCCCAGAGGAGGAAATTGAAACAGAGAGAAGTTGAATGTGAGAGCAACTTCTGGAACAATGATATTTAAGATCCAAAATAGTTATATATAAGGGGCAAAATTCCATTCATCCCAAATTCAAACCTCCTTAGATGCACAGAGGAAGTTGATTTTCTCTTCTGCATGTTCTTTCTCTCAATATCTGAGGACAGCTCACACAGCCCTATTGGTCCACTTTTGGGCAGATTTATTTATTTATTTATTTATTTTTAAAGATTTTATTTATTTGAGAGAGAGAGAGAGGGCACATGTGGGGGCGGCGGGGGGCGGGGACAGAGGGAGTGGGAGAAGCAGGGTCCCCGCTGGGCAGGGAGCCCACCGCGGGGCTTGATGCCAGGACCCTGGGATCATGACCTGAGGCGAAGGCAGACCCTTAACCGACTGAGCCACCCAGGTGCCCCCAGTTTGGGGCAGATTTAGAAAGTGATTATTTCTATCAGTACTTCCTCTCTCTATCACTGTCTCTTGTTCTTTTACCAGTCGGATCACACCCCCTGGACCCTGGGTCCAGGCGTCAATGTTTTCCCCAGAGGGGGTGTCCTGCAGCACCCACTTACTTGTCCAAACAGGATTCTCCCAGCTCAAACTTCACGATTGGATTTTTGACCCTCAATGGGAGATTTTGTATTTATCTTTGTTATTTAGTAGACTTGTCATTTGGTAGATTCAGTCTGTTGTCTGGCTGTGAAGATCATGTTGAATTATGATCGTGCTTTTGGCATCTTGGTTCTGCCTCCTAGTCCTAGCTTAGCTGCGGTCGCTGTCCACAAGAATGATAAAGGGCTGCACGGGACAGAGTGTTGTGGTCCCCCACTGGAGATCTTTTCCCAGACTGACCTCATTCCTCTAGTTGGTTTTTGAGATACTCTGTTCAGCCACCAAGGAGCTACATAATCTGGTTATAATCCATCCCATTTTTCTCGATCTGTTCTCTAAGGGCTTCATGAATAACTGTCCTTTGCCTTGTCAGATGAGGCCCTGAACTTGACGTCTAGAACCCTGCATTCCCATCTCAGCTTCTGAGATTTATTAACTATGTGACATGGGTGAGGTCTTTATCTTCTCAGTCTCAGCTTACTCATCTGTAAAATGGGACTCGGAGTGAGTCCTTTTTAGGAGGACCAGCTAAAATTACGGTTGTGAAAATACCTCGAGGTACTCACGGCAATGTGCCATTGCCCAGCTTGAG